CACACACACACACACACACACACACACACACACACACACACCCCAATAAATAACTATTTTAAAAGAAGAAAAGGGCTGCCGAGGTGGCTTGGTGAATAGAATGCTTGTCGTGTAAGCATGAGGACCAGCCTTTGGATGACCCTTGTCCTGTGTGCTTCTTTAGTGATCAGTGCTGTCTTTTATTTTATTTAATGTTTCTAGGAGCTTGAAATCGTCATTGGCGATGAACACATTTCTTTTACAACATCAAAAATTGGTTCCCTTATTGATGTCAACCAGTCTAAGTAAGTATTTATGACATTTAAATCCAGTTATGTCTGGTGTTGGAGATTAAAAAGAAAATGTCAGCCAAATGAGGCCAGCATAGAAAGATGAGGTGCAGACACAAGACAGAAGTCTTTATGGTCCTCCTCATTCACAGGGGGCTCCAGGTTACAGTTGTCTTTCAGTATCATGGAGGGTTAGCTCCAGGAATTTTGGTACCAGAATCTTTGAATGCTTAATTCCCTTATATAAAAGTGTTCCATTATACTTTAAAGTATATAAATAGTTTCCATATATTTTAAAGCCTCTTTATAAAACCAAATTGTGTATAAATAGCTGTTATATCATTTAGGAAATAACAGCAAGAAAAAAATATCTGAATATCCATTTGATAGTTGGAAACCTCATAAACCTAACCTCATAAATCCTCCATTCATGGCTGAACCCACAAATGCAGAGCTTATGGATTCAGGCCAATTGTGTTTTCAAAGGTTGCTTCTTTTACTTGTGGTTCGTTCAGTTAGTGCTTCTCAAGTGACATCGAGGAATGCATAGTAACAGCCAGAAGAGAAAATGAAGTAAGGCCAAACAAATGTTGGTCACTGAGTGAACAGCTTTCTCAGTGGTGACTGTTCAGACTAAGCCCATCTTAGTCTTGGTGAAAATCTTGTATCTAAATTTTAAAATTCATGTTGGTGGTGGTGTGAATTATAACACTGGGATGTGAATCTATTTGCTATAAAGAATCCTGGGTGCTGGGGCTGTCTTGTTTGCGGTACTGGGAATTGAACATGGTTAGAGCCTGGCATGTTAGGCAAGTGCTCCACCACCGACCTGGATTTCCAGCCTTTTTAAAAAGCACAAGACAGAATCTGTTTTAGAAATCATGATTCTCCTCCTTGGTTTTATGTTTTTCACAGTAAAAACAGCATGCTTTACTCCATTTTAATAAGTGACTTTTTCCTTCTCGATGGACATGTGCTTCCTCAAGGTTTTACTGCTGTAAATACCTTCATAAGGAACAAACATTTTGTAGGAACCAGGGTTATTAATTTTTTATTTGCCAACTTTTCTCTGCTTCTTCAACATTTTTGTTTTCTTTTGTATTTTAGGGATCCAGAAGGCTTACGAGTATTTTATTATCTTGTCCAGGACCTGAAGTGTTTAGTCTTCAGTCTCATTGGATTACATTTCAAGATTAAACCCATCTAGACTGGCTATTGTGGACATGAGGGGGGTGGGAGTTTTTAGTTACCGGAATTAGGAGTTTTTTTCTGTATATTGGGGCAATTTTTATAAACAATAAATGATGGTCTTTAATAAACGTAGTAACATGTACTTTTTTGTTATTTTCCTAAACATCTGAATGTGTGAATTATTTCTCATGTAAAATATAAACTTTCAATGAATGCCAGGGAGATGGTTCTGGCAGTCAAGCTTTAGCTCCACAAGCCTGACATGACAACCACCATCCACATCCCTGGGACCCACACGGGCCAGCCAGCCTGGACTAAGCACCCAGCAGCAGAAACAGGGACCCTGCCTCAACAAGGTGGAAGGCAAGAGATGACTCAATTTCCACACCTATGCTGTGGCATGGGTGTGTGCTAGTGTACACACATATACTAAATATGTTTTTTAATACAATGAGAGTTGGGAATCTCACTGGCAATACTCAAAAGAAATTCCAGGACAAGTTACCTGGTTTGGTTTTAACAAAGAGCCTCCCTTCCCTTTACTGCCCAGATGACTTAGAACTAGGGATCAGTCACCCAAGTGCTAGGATTACAGGCAGGCGCCATCACACCCAGTTCAATTTGGATCCTTAAATTCCAAGGGAAAAGGAACCTGAATATTTACAAGACAAATCAGTTGCTGGAGTTACAGTTCAGTAGGAAAGCACCTGCCTAGCATTCGTGAGGCCTTGGATTTGATCTCCCCCAAGACAGACAAAATAATGCAATGTTTGACCCTAATTGCGTCATGCTAAAAAACTAATGTTGACACCATAAAGAAATTTGAACACTGGCTGTTGGATTTACATACAGTGTGTGTGTGTAAGACTGGGTTTTGCACATACTAAGCAAGTGTTCCACCAACAAGCCACATTTCACAGCCAAGTACTGTTAACTTCTTGGGCATGAAATTGCATTGTGTTGGGCTTCAATTTTTTTTTTTTACAGATCCAGTATTTCAGTGTGGAGGAAAACTGTTCAGCAGGTAGATTTGTAGACACTTTCTCTTGCTGTTACATAAATTTCATGGCTTTAGGCAAATAGCTGGTTAGACTACACCTGAAGAAATGGGACTTGATAGGTTTCATGTGCCTGAAGGGATGTGATGAGCCTAAATACACATCCTTAGGGACAGTCCAACCTGAGACAGGGTCCCAGTCGTTCTCAGACTTTTCATACTTCACTCTGCCTGCTGCTTCAAGTTAGGGATATCACTATCTTGAGGAGTCAGGATGCCAGACTATTGATTGAGATACTTTGAGGCCAGTCTGGTCGTGTCAGAAAAAGGCCTTTTTATTTTATTTTATTTTTTATTTTTTTAATGACACTTGAGCAAGTGGGGAGATGGCTTGGCGGGTAAGTGCACTTGTTGCTCTTGCAGAGCACCCCACTCCAGTTCCTAGCGTCCACATGGTGGCTCACAGCCATCTGTCACTAGAGGATCCAGTTCCCTCTTCTGGCCTCGGCGGGAGCTACATGTATGTGGTGCACCCACCTACACGCAGGCAAAACAAACATAAAATTAAAACAAAGACGGGGTTATGAAAGTGTCAAGTGGATGACATGTTTTCGAATGTTGATGCCCACGGCTCCTGCCGTGTCGGTAAAGAAATGATAGAATAAGACCGTAGGAAAGAGGCAGCTGTTTTCGGACATAGGGACCACGAGGCCTTGGACACAGAGCAGCCCCGCGGGAAAGATCGCAACATCAGGTCCGGCAGGTAGATCCAATGAACAGGGTAGCGGAGGGCCACTACCCCAAATCTGCCAGGATGCCACGTTAACCTGAGAAGAATCGGAACCACAGGGGAGGAAGGAGGCGGAAAGAAAACCGAGGGCCTAGAGCGGTCGAGCAGAGGTTTCGAGCCACAACATCCTGCCTGCTTAGTGATGGCACAAATTGAGAACCAGGCGCTATCTCTGACATCAGCGAGTCCATGGATCCCAACGCGCCTAAAAAGAAAAGCGCTCGCCGGCAGGCGACGGTGAGACCGCTCACCAACGCCCCGATTCCCGCCCACCCTCACTGAGGCTGCGCGGGCGGTGCCAAGCCTTTTACGACGGGCCGGAAAGCAGCAGTCGCAGCGGCATAACGTGGACCAGGCAGCTATGGGGGTAAGGGGAGGCGATTCGCCACCGGAGCGTCCGGTAGCCGAGTCAGAGGTGGGGTGGAGGCGGCGAGGACCCGAGAGCCGCGAGCTCCTGCCAGGAGGGAGTGAAGGGAGTGGGCTCGCGGGGAGGCCCCGGAGGCCCGGCTTGAGCTGGGAGGGGCGGGAGGGGCGGGGCACGCGGCTGCGCACGCGCGGCCGAGCTCTCAGTCTGGCCCGCTCTCTTCTCAGAAAATCGCGCTGCAGCTCAAAGCCACGCTGGAGAACGTCACCAACCTCCGGCCAGTGGGCGAGGACTTCCGGTGGTACCTGAAGGTGCGGCGGGAGGCGGATCCCTCCTGGGAAAGGGAGGAGCATCGGGAGGCTGTGGGCGTTTTTAGGGCCCAAGGCCAAGCCACTATCTTAATACTGAACTGGGAACATTTCTGTTCTTCTGGATCCGAGGAAGTTATCCAGGCATATAAGTGGATTTTTCAGGATGGAATTTTAGATCTTACTTTTATTAGTTATTAGTCTCATGTAATCTAGGCTGGCCTTGAGCTCTTTATGTATCGGAGGATAACTTTGAACTCTAGATCTTCTTGCCTTTCCCTTCCGTCTGCTGGGATTACAGATGTGCGTCCTCCTCCCACGGTGGAACTTTGTCTTTTTTTTCTCCTCTGCAGTCCTGGGGATTTATCCGAATCTAGGGCCGCAGGCTAGCACTCTCCAAACGTGCAATCTCCCCGGGTCTTGGTTTGCAAACAGACACTGAACAAAATGTTATGTGAGGGGACCTTGTGACTACTTAATATGGTGAATAAAACTCACCTTGTCTTATTTGCTGGCTTAACTTGTGAAAGTTGACCACCCTTCGTCTTCACAAAGTACTACTAAGCCTGGTACAACCGGGTAGGTGCCCTGGCTGCGTGGTCTGTAGAGAGCCAAACAGTGTGCGGCTCTTCACTTCCCAGATTCTGCCGTATTCTTCTAGTCTGTCTCTTCGACTCACGTGCCCATCCAAAGCCTTGTCTGTCAGGAGGTCATAACCGATCGCTTTTCTTTACATTTAATCCCCTCGGGACTAGACAAGTGCTCTCCCATTGCATCCACAGCTCCCATTTCCAAATGTTTTGGAGCACGAGGTCCAGGGCTCATCTGGAAAATGAACTTCTTTGACTTGAAACAGAATAATGAAGGAGACAGAAAAGAGTAACAAAATGATGACTGCTTAACCCCAGCACTCTTAGGACCCTAAGCACAAAGCTCCTAGCCAGGCACAGTTGCTTGGGGGCCTGTGATGTGGATTCCCCAGCCAAATGATACACATTTTAGAGGAGGGTAGGGGTGAAACAACTTGTTCCTGTCTGGAGATAAGTCTGCTCTGAGTCCTCAGTGGAGCTGGTTGTAGGATGAGGTAAGAGTCACCTAGAAGATGGGCTGTATTAGGTATAGTGGCACTCACTCGGAATCCCAGTACTCTGAAAGCAAAGGCAGGAAAATCTCAGGTTCAAAAATAGTTTAGTCTGCATAGTGAGAGCCTATCTAAAATAAATAGATAGAAGGATATGGTAGGTTATGAGCCTGCTTTACACTATACTTAACCTAACCATGGTGTCTTTCCAACTAAGCTAGCTGCTCAACTAATACTCTTTTTCTACCCCCAGATGAAATGTGGCAATTGTGGTGAGATTTCAGAGAAGTGGCAGTACATCCGGCTGATGGTAATGGTCCCTCCACATACTCTGGGCGGAGGTTTGGGGACGCTGGCCTTCATCCCTCTGTCCTTTGAACATCTTTCTTTTCTTTCTTTTCCTCCTCCTCCTCTTCCTCCTCCTCCTCTCCTCCTCCTCTTCTCCTCCTCCTCCTTCTTCCTCTCTCTCTCTTTTATGGTAGCTTGAGAGAGCAAGCACCAGTGTGGTCAGCACTGGGAGCAACAGGCCTCTTTGGGATATGAGACAGAGTTCAAAATCAAGAGGGACCTTTTTTCTCACTCACAGGAAGACTCCTTAGGGTGCCGCCCCACTCACCCCCACCCCAGCTGTGCTGAGGGGTTGAATCCATCCTAAACATGCTCTGCCACTGAGCTGTTCCCAGCCCTCCCGTAACTTTCAGCAAGTGACTCACTTCTGTGGGTCTTGGTCTCTTCCACTGGATAATAGGGATGAGATCTCTTTGGGATCCTTGCATCAAACTGTTACATAACTAGAGATTATGTTTGTTTCTGGTCAGGACAGTGTGGCGCTGAAAGGAGGCCGTGGCAGTGCCTCCATGGTCCAGAAGTGCAAACTGTGTGCCCGGGAAAACTCCATTGGTAGGTCAGGCATGACTCCCCAGGTTCTTCCGGCTGACTGGAGGCAGACTCATGCTGTCCAGGGGTGGACTTGGGCCTGAAGTACTAAAACCTGGGCAGCTCACTCTTTTTCCCTGAGTGGAGCGTGGGTCTAGAGTCAAGTCACCTTTTCCTTTCTGTATTTCAGAAATTTTGAGCAGCACCATCAAGTCTTACGATGTAAGTTTCCTGCTGCAGTGACGGGGTGGTCGGATTAAATCGGAACCGGCGGCTAGGAGGAGTGGTTCCAGAGTAGCTGCACCAGAGTGGCCAGCCACAGGACATGGTCCCGTGTCCTTAACTCTCTTTTGTGTTGTTTGAGACTAGGTCTCCCCAGGTAGCTCAGGCTTGCCTCAAACTCTCCCACTCCTGTGTCAGCCTCCTGAGAGCTGAGATGACATGCGCTTGACACTATGCCCTCTTATTAAGTCTTTAATGCACTTAGCTGTTCATTTGCTCAGTCCATCTTTCGTCCACCAGACACTGGGTGATGGTGCAATACTTTCCTGAAAGTACAGTGGGTTGAAAATTTGGGCGTGGTGCTGGGTAGTCACTGAGCCCACAGGTGAAGTAGGCATGGATTTCCTGGCTACCCACCTCCCAAGAGGTACCCTCTACAGTCGCCCCGCCCTTGTCCTCATGGTTAGCAAAAGGCAATGGTGTGCTTACTGGGACCGTACGGGTGGTCTGGAGCCTTTGTAACATAACGTTCTTGTTTGTCTTCTTGATGCTAATTATTTACCATTCATTGAACATGGTGTTAGGGCCTGTGATTGGCTCGTTGTGCGTGGTTCAGGTTTTCCTCAGCTCTCTGCAGAAGCTGTGTCTACAAAAGGTCCTCCGGGAGCAGTGCCCAAGACAGGCTTCTTTTAAAGGGCTCAGTTGTTCTGGGTCCCATTCGAGGCTCCTGGGTGCAGTCAGGGCCCACATGGCAGAAAGGACAGAGGGCATGGGGTCTCCCGGGGGCCCATTGGGCCTGCCTCCTCAATACACTTCCTTTCTAGGCTGAAGACAATGAGAAGTTCAAGACAATAGTAGAGTTTGAGTGTCGGGGCCTTGAACCTGTTGACTTCCAACCCCAGGTATGTATCTGTAAGAGGCTCTCGGGGAAGGGAATGTAGCAAAGAACTTTGCTTCTTACAGAGACTGTGAAATAGGAATTCTCCATCCTGCCTTCCCCTTCAATGCTCTAGCACTGAGCAGGGGATTCTATGGTTAGTAATTGTCACTTATTAAATGCCTGCTGTATGCTGTGCTCCATGCCCGTCACCTTTACATGTTACTTCATTTCATCCTTACTGTAACCCTGTGGAGTGATTCATAAGAGGGAACTTCAAAGATTGTGTGTGTGTGTCTCAGTTAGGGTTTTTATTGCTGTGAAGAAAAACCATGACCACAGCAACTCTTATAAAGAAAACATTTAATTGGGGCAGCTCACTTACAGTTTCAGAGGTTCAGTCCATTATCATCATGGCAGGGAGCGTGGTGACATGCAGGCACACATGGTGCTGGAGGAGCTGAGCGTCCTACATCTTGCAGGCACAGGAAGTCGAACTGACCCCCTGGGCAGTGTCCCAAGCATAAGAAACCTCAAAGCTCACCCCCACAGTGACACACTTATGCTGTGGATATCGCTCTGCATATTGAATGTGTTGCTCTGATTGATTAATAAATAAAACGCTGATTGGCCAGTAGCCAGGCAGGAAGTATAGTGTAGGCAGGATAAGGAGAGAGAATTCTGGGACAGGAAGGCTGAGTCAGGCAGGAGTCGCCAGCCAGATACAGAGGAAGCGAGATGTAAAATCATCGGTAAGCCACAAGCCATGTGGCAACTTTTGGATGAATAGAAATGGGTTAATTTAAGATGTAAGAACAGATAGCAAGAAGCCTGCTGCGGCCATACAGTTTATAAGTGATATCAGTCTCTGTATGTGTACTTGGGTCCAAGTGGCCAGCCTCAGGACCACAGGAGCTGAACAGAACCAGAAAAACTGAGCTACACTTCCCCTCGTGAGGCCATACCCACTAATAGTGCCACTTCCTATGAGACTATGGGAGCCAAATGAATTCAAACTACCACAGTGCAGCCTGCCAGAGTCCCACAGTTAGTAAGCAGAGGGCTGTAAATTGAACCCAGGTCTGTCTGACTCTTGAATCAGTACTCACCCATTTATTTGTGCACTTTTACCTCACAGTAGATCTGAGGGGTAAGTTAGAAAAGATGGTATTGGCATCCCCATATCATAAGAGGAGGAGGAGGAGAAGAATCCTCAGCCATACATTGAGTTTAAGGCCAGCCTGGAATCCATGAGACCCTGTCTCAAAAACAAACAAAACCCTAGGTTCAAAGCCAGTTATAGTGGTGCCCACCTTTAATCCCAGCACTCAGGAGGCTGAGGCAGGTGGATTTCTGTGAGTTTGACAACAACCTGGTCTCCACAAGGATTTCTAGGACAGCCAGAACTATGTAGAGAGACCCTAGCTTAAAAAAAAAATTAACCAAACCCCCCCCCCCAAAAAAAAACTAAGGTTCAGAGAGAGGAGTGGAGTGTGGAGTGTGTACCCAGGTCCTTCAGCAGACACGGGTGACGGAGAATGTACCCTACTCCTGCCGTCATGCTTGACTAGTTCTTGTTAACAGAAACCAGGACCGCCCCCCCCCCCCAAGTAGGGAGCCGCAACTGAAGACCTGTCCTGACTGCTGACTGAGGGGAGCCTGGATGTATAAGGAAGATAGCTGAGGCTGGACATGGCCACACGCCTTTACCCCAGCACTTGGGGGGCAGAGGCAGGGGCATCTCTGTGAGCTCAAAACCACCCTGGTTTTCATAGTAAGTTCCAGGTCAACAAGAGCTACATAGTAAGACCTGCCCCAAAAAGGAAAGAAGGAAAGGGAGAAAGGAGAATAAAGAAGAGAGGGAAGCAGGCAAGCAGGCAAGCAGTGAGCCTCCTTCCTAGATGTCTCTGCTGGTTCCTGGCTCCAAGGTCCTGCCCCAGCTTCCCTGGGCGATGAGATGTAAGCAGAGTAAGCCCTTCCTCTCTCAAACTGCCTCTGGGTCCTGGTGCTTACCGCAGCAACAGGAAGAAACCCAGGCAGTCTTCTAGGCCAGGCTGTAATTTAGACACACCACGGCAGTGCCGAGTCACCTGGAAACCCAAGTTTTTCAGCTGCTACACTGATGTTGCCTTTCATCTTGAAGGCTTTGCTAGAAAGACCAACCCTGGGCCACTCTTCACAGGTGCTGTCTCTCCCCAACCTCACTGTTTTCCTCTCCCCTGCAGGCTGGGTTTGCTGCCGAAGGTGTGGAGTCAGGGACAGTCTTCAGTGACATTAATCTGCAAGAAAAGGTGAGACTTGGGGATCCTGCAAGGTGCTGTATGGTACCCGAGGGGAATTATCTTTTTGGTGAACAGGTCTTACAGTGGAGAGCTAGCTCTAAATTTTTGTGCTTTTTGCTAGTGATTCTGCTGTTTAAATGGCCATAAGTTTAGTGCCCAAGTGGGTCTCGTGTGTACATGCAGGAAGGCTGAATGTGCCTGAATGGAAAGTACACAGCAGATAAGCTTCATTCAGGCTCGAGTTAACAGTGCCTGTGAACTACATAGTAAATATGCTCCTCTTAAGCACATAAAACAGAGGTATTTACTTCACCAGTTAATGAAAATCTTGTCACAGACCCTCGCTCATGAGAAGCTAAGCCCATTTCCCCTGGAAGCAGTAGGTGAAGTGCCTGTAGGGATCACCTGGAGTTGTTTCAACCCTGCAGATAGACGAGTCTTCTGTTCCAGCTGTGAAGGGAGGGCACCAGTTCGTTCTGTTTGCATGGCTCCTTGTCACCACAGTAGGCGGCGCTCTCTGCCCCACCTGGTGTTGGTTTCTGTGCTAAGCATGTTTCCATGTGTCTCCTTTCATTCTTCCAACATTCACTCCCAAGTCTCTTTTCTCCCTTAAATAGAGGACTCAACTCAAAAGCCTGGCGGTGGTGGCCCACACTTTTAATCCAAGCATTCGGGAGGCAGAGGCAGGTGGATCTCTGAGTTAGAGGCCAGGCTAGTCTACAGAGCAAGTTGCAGGACAGCTAGCTAGGGCTACACGGAAAAACCACAATAAAGCCGGGTGGCAGTGGCACACACCTTTAATCCCAGCACCCAGGAGGCAGAGTCAGGCGGATCTCTGAGTTCAAGGCCAGTCTGGTCTACAGAGTGAATTCCAGGACAGGCACCAAAACTACACAAAGAAAGAAACAGAGAGAGGAGGAGGGAGAGGGAGGGAGGGAGGAAGGAAAGAAAGAGAGAAAGAGAGAAAGAGAGAAAGGAGAAAGAAAGAAAGAAAGAAAGAAAGAAAGAAAGAAAGAAAGAAAGAAAGAAAGAAAGAAAGAAGAGAGAGAGAGAGAGAGAGAGAGAGAGAGAGAGAGAGAGAGAAAGAAAGAAAGAAAGAAAGAAAGAAAGAAAGAAAGAAAGAAAGAAAGAAAGAAAGAAAGAAAGAAAGAAAAGAAAGAAGAAAGAAGAAAGAAAGAAAGAGGCAGAACTTAGGCTTGGGGAAGTGACATGACCAGCCTGATTACAAGACTGAGAGATGGAGTTCATGCCTGAGCTGTCTGCTTGCTGAAGGGTCTCTTGCGTCCGTGACTCGCTGAGTCAGAGCCTGCATTGGGCTTCGGAACTCCTGGTTCTCCACTGTCCACACTGCCCCATTCTGCCTTGAGAGGCTAATGCCGCCTTCTTCTTTCATAGGACTGGACAGACTATGACGAGAAGGCCCAGGAGTCTGTGGGGATCTTCGAGGTCACCCATCAGTTTGTGAAGTGCTGAACTGTCTTCCTACAAACTTGCCCATAAGAACTGAGAGGAGAGAGAGTGCCCTGAGCAGAAATCCCATGGGGCTTCTCAGCTCTCATCCCCTAGCCCCTGTACCAAGCCCTCACGGTCTGCATGCTGGGGTTTGTCACGGTTCTAAGTCCCACCAATAAAGCCCTGTTGGTGTGTGAAGGAGGTATGTGCAATACTCCCTCCACAAATAAGAAGGGACTCTGGAGGTCTTTGCTTTCCAGTTCCTGCTCTGCGCCTGATCCAATTGGCAAAATACACAGGAGCAAGCGCACAGCTTATAAAGGCTCTCCAGCTCTAGGGAAATAGGCAGGTCTACCTACAGGATCAAAGGTGTGAAGGCCGATGGCACCAAGGGCAGAGAGGCCTGTGGAGTGATGCTGTGAGCCCAGCAGCTCCCAACTAAAATACTCCCTGATCACCATGGCTCTCCAGTAAACCCAGGCATCTGTTCACAGCTCACTTCACCCCAGACCTCACAGGAGACCAGCAGCCCACTCCTGGCTCCACATTGCTGCTGGTGGCCAGTCTGTTCATTTGCTGTGATAGAGTACTTCCTGACAGTCAACTCGGAAGTTCTTCCTCGTGTGGATCGGCCTGTGGCCCCTGAAGCACCACTTGCTGGTCCTGGCTTATCCCTGTGGCCGTAATGTATGCTCTGCTTCCAGACAACTCTTGGAGTGAAGACAGCAATCATGGCCTGCCAAGTCACATGGAACCAGATCCCCACACAACAGAGTGGGTCAGTGCAGAACTAGGCCATGGGGACCCTTGTGCGTTCATACTTGGGAACCCACCATTTGGAAAACCTGTCACCCAGACTGTATTTCTCCAATATTCTGCTAAATCAAAAACAAAGATTTTACTTTTTCATTATGTATACTTGTGTGTATTTATGTGCTGGTATGTGGGTGTGAGTGCAGGTGCCTTCAGAGACCAGAAGAGGATGTCCTGTCCCTTGGAGCTGGAGTCAAAGGCTCTTGTGACCTACCCAGTGTGGGTCCTAGGAACCAAACTTAGTCTTCTGTAGTGTGTGCTCTTAACTGCTGAGCCATGTCATCTCTAGTCCATGTTCTCCCACTGCTGAGTAGAAAGGGCATGCCATCCCCTGGCTGGCTGAGAGGGTTAAGAAAGGGAGCTGGCCAAACTGGCCGTAGCTGAGACTGGCAGGAGGTGCCTCCTTTGCTTCAAGTCTGGCAACCATGTTGTGTTCCCCGCTTCTGCGAACTCTACACCTCACAGAGCGGCCTCCACCCTCCCTCGGGGCGGTCTCTCACCCACACGTCCCAGCCAGTCTGCCCTGGAAACCAGCAGGTAGCCCTGGACTGGGGAAGCAGCCTTTCTTGTTTCTTCTAGTCTGTACAGCCAGTGTGTGTTAAGTTCATAACGTTAAATACTAAAGGGATGGGTCTCTTGGTTCTAGAAGATGAGGAAACCCAAGTAATCATTAAGAAGTAGAGGAAAAATGAAGCAGATTGTGCAGAACAGGTACCATTCAATACCTATTTAACAAAAACAGCAACAGAGGAACTCTTAACCGACAGAACTAGGAGGAAACCAAGAGCAAGTGTCGTGTTTAGTAAGTGATGCAGTGCTCGTGAGCGCCACTTAAGGTCACGGAGGAACGAGGACTCCTCCGTCACTGCTGTTCATTGTGCGGGTCCCAGCAGTGTGGTAAAGGACTGAGGACAAAGTCCGAAAGAGTTGACCGTCTATGCAGAAACCAAAGGCATTTCAATACATTAGCTAGCAAAATGTGATTCAAGAAAAGATGCCTTTTCTAATAGCAGCCTAGGGTAGGGTGTCTCTCAGGGACAGAGTACTTACATAGAATGCATGAATCCCTGGGTACATTCTCCAGGACCACAAAGAAATATAATAGCAACAAAGTACATCCCTTCCCCAAAGTAGGATTTAATCTCAAATTTGTAACAATGGAGAATACCATTAAGCTTCACTGAAAGTCAGTAAAGACCTGTATTATGATGATGGATAGGAAGACTTGATGTTCAGATACCCATTTAAAAAAAAATTTTGTAAGTTTAATTGAAATTGTAATATCTGCTTAGCAGAACTTGAGTCAATTCTGAAATCCCTGAGTCACAGACTTATGTACCAGATGCCAGTGTGTATACAGAGCAGTGGCAGTTAAGCTAGTATGATATTAGCTCTGGGGTAGCCAAATAGATCGATAAACAGGTTAAACAGACCCATTGATGTAAAAAAAAAAAAATTGACAGATGGTGTTGCAGATGAACATGTTAATTATTGACTGTGTGCAGGGACAGATGTTCAGTGAGGCGAGGTTGGAGTCCTGCTTCACGCTGCACTTGCAGACCTATTCCACCCGAGGCTTGTAAGCTCTGGTGTTGGAAACCATGTGGGAGGGTGGATCACTGGGCTCAGCACTGGCCTCACTGCAAATCCTGGGCAAGCGCCTCCCGTCTTGGGACCTCATTTTCTTCATGTGAAAAAGGAGGGCAGGTTCAGCTCTGGAGTGTGTTACTCCAGGACATTAGTCCTAACGGTGTGTCTGAGTCCTCTTTTCCAGGCCTACTCACTGTACAAGCTGTAAATAAAAGGGAGATTCGGGAGTCTGGGGAGACGACAAGGGGGGAGCAGACTGTGGAGGTCAGAGGACACTTGGCAGGAGTCGGTTCTCTCCTTCCACTGTGTGGGTTTCAGTGATCCATTCAGGTCATCAGGCTTGACAAGTGCCATTACCCACTGAGCCACCCTCTTACCGTCCATTGTTTTAAGTTTGTGTGGGGGAGAGACACATGGGCCATGATGCACGTGTGGAGGACAAAGGATGGTTTGTAACAGTTTGTTTTCTTCCCGCCATGTGGGCTCCTGGGACTCAGAATCGGGTTGGTGCCGGGCACCTTTGCCCACTGGGCCATCTCACTGTCGCGCCCCCCCCCCCAGCTTTGGTGTGGACACTAAGTGCAGGTGCTCAGTCTGCCCTTAAGTTACCCCGAGCAACGTTTAAAGTGCCGTCTTTATCCACAAAGCATATTTTCTTAGCTAGACCTGTCTGTAACCGTGGCTTTTGGTGACTAACCACGTGAAGGTTGAGGGATGTCGGGCTGCATGCTTTGTGTACAACAGCAGCCTTTCAGATACATCTCAGAGCAGAAACACCCAGGGGCAGGGCTTGGCTGGCTGAGGCAGTCATGGTACAGCACTCAGTAAGGCAGGTGCCCGTGGGGGAGCCCGCTCACTGGTGAATCCCTGGGGGTCAGGGGGAATGGGGTGGCTTTCAGTCCAGCCCTCCAGAAAGCTGCTTTGTTTGTTTGTTTGTTTGTGTGTGTGTTTCCTGGCACCTTTTGTGCATCTGCACCTTCACTTGGCAGTGTCCCCCAGGGGCTTCTCTAAACAGGTGTACACTGGAGCTCACACATCTGGGAAAAAAGGGGGCGGGGTGGGGTGGTGGGTAGGCATAAGCCATTAGCTGCAGTGTCTCCAACTGGTTTTCCCCACCTGGAAACTGTTGAAAACACAAGTTTCCTGGCTTCACTGCATGCCCACCAGATGTGCCTCTCCCAGGTTCAAGCTTGAACCTGTCTAGCAGAAGCATTCCCAGAGGAAATGGGCTGCACCTCAGCAGGAGGGGCTGCAGGGCTGGAACAGATGCTCAGCATGCTCAGCATGGGGTCCAGACTCAACACATGAAGCAACTAGAAACAAGAATGACCTGATCAGAAGTGCAAACAGGCACCTTGTGGAGGGCGCACACCTTTGATCCCACCACTCAGGAGGCAGTGCAGATGGATCTCTGAGTTCAAGGCCAGCCTGGTCTACAGAGAGTTTCAGGACAGCCAGGCCTACAGAGAAACTCTGTTTTGAAAGACAAAAAAAGAAAACAAAAAAGAAGTGCAGACAGGCTACACTGTTCTCTAGTGACCCAATGCCCACTTGGAACGAGCCCAGGGCCCCAGCTGTCAGTGCCCTGCAGCCTCCAGATGGAGCCAGCCTGACTCAGGCCTGCCAGCCCTCCTTGGCATCAAGTACAAGACTGATGCCTGCCACCCTGCTGCCTCTGACATGCTAGAAGAATCTGGCTGTTTTCAAATGTAAAGATAAAACCTGTGCCCAACAGCTGCCTCTTGCTGCTCCCTAAAGTGGGAAACAGCGGAAGACAAGCTTTGCCTGTGTCCTTAGGAGATTCAAGAGCAGGTTCTGTGCCCACTGCCTTCCAGTTGGAGAAATATGGTTCAGAACAGAAAGAAAATCTAACACAAGGAGAAAGTCATAGATGCGGATTAAATTTAGAGCCAGTTAGGAATGATTCATAATAGTTCATTAGGGAAGATCTGTGGCCTGTGACTCCACCTCAATCAGCTACAAAGTGACTGGGAGTCAGAAGAGATCTTAGGCCACCACATACCTTTAATCCCAGCACTCGGGAGACAGAGGCAGGGGGATCTCTGTGAGTTCGAGGCCAGCCTGGTCTACACAGCAAGTTCCAGGAAAGGCACAAAGCCACATAGAGAAACCCTGTCTCAAAAAAATAAAAAAATAAAAAAACAAAAAATAAAAAAGATGTCAGGCCACAATCAATATAACAATGACAAAACCAGGGAGTTCTATTAGTGAACAGTTTTGGGATTAGTTCCATTGGCAGAAGAAATCTCAAAACAGCCTAGTATATACTGTTGTGTGAATATCAGTGGTAACTCTAATGAAGATTTATAATGAAAAGGAGAAAGCTGAGGAGGTAAATTACAAAAAGTAAATTTTGAGAAGAAAAAGAACACCTGTAAGTAGAATAGTGCTAAATCCTGTGTTTAAGGAGATAAACATTAAGAAATGGAATAAAGGGAGTGGTGACCTCAGGGCAAGATCCTGACCAGCTAAGTTTCCAACGTGTGGAAAGGAACTAAAGGAAACCTTAGATCTGGGTATAGTGGGGCACACCTTTAATCCCAGCACCCCGGAGGCAGAGGCTGGTGGATCTCTGAGTTGGAGGCCAGCCTGGTCTACAAAGCAAGTCCAAGGACAGCCAGGCTTAGTCAATGAAAGAAAGCTGGTGAGGATGTAATTGAAGGGGACGGGGCACATGTTCCATCCCCAGCAAGGAGCAGAACTTAGCAGCTTTGCCCACATGACTCTGGGTTTAGAGTTAAGGATAGAAGAAAGGAGTTATGGAATAAGGCTGCTGAGGCCAAGCATGTGTCAGGGATGCCCCCGAATGAAGGCCTTGTAGAGAGGCCATTGTGTGAAGCGTGTGAAGTTGCTGGATTGCCTTAGAGATCCCAAGATGTTAGAGATGCCAGAGTCCTGGGATACCTGCCACGGACAGCTGCTAACGGAGTGGAACCAGCCCAAGAAAAAGAAGTGTGCTGGGAAAGGACCAAGCAGACGCTGTAACAGGCTGCTCAGTCTTCTCAGAGATCAGGCCTCAATTTCAGTTTCTTGAGATTTAAGCAGTTTCTGGGAGGGCCTTGAACAAGACAGTCCTTGCAGTAGCTCCCTTTCTGCATGTATGTGACTGTTTAAGGTTCAGTCAATTGTTTACTGTCTGGGACCCCTCACCAACTTAGAGCTACGTGCATGGGTCAATGTGAACGTGCGAGGCCAGCCCGCCTCCATGGCAGCTCAAGGACAGAGCCTGGGGCTTGTCCAGGCCTGCCCAAAAATGATAACTGTAACTCCAAACCAGTAAATTCAAAGGTTACACGCCCTCACCCAATCATATGACGCCAAGGCTTGTACTACCCTGCTTGCAATTTTTCCATTTAAAAGCCCCTCACCCTGAGAGTTCAGGGCTGTCCTCCTCCACCTGCTGAGGTTGGACACGAACCAAGCCCGGGCTTGCTTGTTATCAATAAACCCCTATCAAAATGTGTTTTGCATTGGATATCGGCTCTGTGGTGGTCCTGATTGGGGATGGGGAGCTCGAGACACGGGCACAACAGTTGCAGACAACAAAGCTGAATGGAGTTGGAGATCTGAAGAGCGTTTTGACATCAGGCATGGAGATGCAGTTTGGAGTTGCCCAGCTGGTTTTTGGTCTTGCTTTGGTCCAGTATTCCCTTGCTGTGCTCCCATCCCTATGTTTTGAAATGGTAGTATATATCCTGTGCCATTATATGTTGGAAGTATGTGATCTGCTTTTTTTTATTTTTTTTTTAAAGATTGATTTATTTATTATGCATACAGTGTTCTGCCTGCATGTATACCTGCAGGCCAGAAGAGGGCACCAGATCTCATTACAGATGGTTGTGAGCCACCATGTGGTTGCTAGGAATTGAACTCAGGACCTCTGGAAGAAAAGCCAGTGCTCTTAACCTCTGAGCCATCTCTCCAGCCCGCTTTTTTGATTTTTATAGGTGATTACAGTTAAAAGATTGCATGAGCCTCAAGCAACTTTAAACTTTGGACTTTAAAACAATGTTGAGACTGTGATAGACTATGGAGACTTTTGAAGTTGGATTAAATGTATTTTTGCATTTTGATATTGCTACAAGCTTATGGGGTCCAGGGAGTAGAATGTGTTAATTTGAATGTAATTGGCCCCCACAATCTCATAGGGAGTGGCACTTTTAGGAGGTGTGGCTTTGTTGGAGTGGGTGTGGCCTTGTTGGAGGAAGTGTGTCACTGTGGGGGTGGGCTTTGAGTTTCCTATGCTCAGGATACCGCCCAGTGTGTCAGTTGGTCAAGATGTAGCTCTCTCAGCTCCAGCACCACACCTGCCTGCACGCTGCCACGCTCCCTGTCATGATGATAATGGACTGAACCTCTGCAACGGTAATCGAGCCACCCCACTTAAAAGTTTTCTTTATAAGAGTTGCCATGGCCATTGTGTCTCTTCACAGCAATAGTAACCTAACTAAGACAAGGACCAAATACTCAAATGCCAGAGACTAACAGGGGACATTCTCATCAAACCACAGACTAGGGACACACCAGGTGATGTGTGCTGTGTGTAAAAGACCATGGTGCTAAGCAGTCGATGAGGTTCCACACAACACTCACGAGGGTCGGAGATCACCTGTGAGATACGGTTGTGCAGAAAGTAGGGATTTAAACCAGGGGACACGAGGGAGGTGAAGGGGAGGGGCAGGCACGATCAGCTTTTACAGAGCTCCGGAGACAGCCAATGCCATCAAAACCAGCACATCCATGTTGGGTACAGCCGCATAGATAGGAGACGCTCCCTTAGCGTTTCACAGCCCTCAGCCATTCTCTGGACCGCTCCACTTCCATACTGTGCTGACTAGTTTCATGTCAGCTTGACACAAGCTATCGTCAACTGAGAGGCGGGAACTTCAATTCCTCAATTAAGAAAATGCTTCCAGCTGGGCAGGGGTGGCGCAGGCCTTTAATCCCAGCACTGGCAGAAGCAGGCAGATCTCTGTGAGTTCTAGGCCAGCCTGGTTTATAGAGTGAGTTCCAGCACAGCTTGGTCTACACAGAGAAACCCTGTCTTGAAAAGAAAAAAAAAAAGAAAGAAAAGAAAGAAAGAAAGAAAGAAAGAAAGAAAGAAAGAAAGAAAGAAAGAAAGAAAGAAAGAAAGAAAGAAAGAAAGAAAGAAAAGAAAAAGAACATGCTTCCATAAGATGGGGCTTCAGACAAGCCTGTGTCCATTTTCTTAGTAAGTGATTGATGTTGGAGGGCCCAGGCCATTGTAGGTGGGGCCATCCCTGGGTTGGTGGCCCTAGGTTCTATAAAAATGCAAGCTGAGAAAGCCACAGGGAGCAAGCAAGTAAGCAGCACTCTTCCATGGCCTCTGCATCAGCTCCTGCCTCCAGGTTCCTGCCCTGTTGAGTTTCTGCCTTGGCTTTCCTCAGTGATGGACTATGATGTGGAAGTGTAAGTCAAATAAACCCTTTCCTCCCCAACTTGCTCTTTGGTCATGGTGTTTCATCACAGCGATAGAAACCCTAAGTAGGACACACACCCTGGAGCTCTTCCATGAAGCCCCCCTGCATTTCCCCACCCCATGAGCTTGGTGAGGCTGGCTCATACTTCCCAGCCTGCTCAGAGCTAATGGTGAGTGAAGTCCCACCCTCCCTACTGCACTTGCTGCTCTGCTCATGCTGGTTCCCTCTGGGCTGCCTCCCAGGGAGGCTCTGGGCTGGCACTGAGGCTCTAGGGGCAGCCGGCCGGCCTCTCCATCCACTACACCTGGCTTCTGAGGAAGGCCCTTGCTGGCAAACCATCTCCACACTCTTGTAGCAGAGAGATACCTTAGTCTAGAGGGGTAATTGCCCACCCTTTGGACAGGCTTCATCTTCCACGCTTGTATGATTTTATCATGGAGGCCTTCTGTGAACTGCTCCTCAGGTTTCAAAGACTTCCAGAAGTTCATTAGCACAGAACTTGGCTGTTTTAGGAGAGCTTGACCTAAACCTAGCCATGTTTGCCTTCGCGTAACCGAGACAGACCTCTTTCTCTGCTTTGCTCCTACCTCAGGCTACTCTCCTTCTTTACACTTTCTCCTACCTCATAAAGACCCTGGTCCACACAGGCTCAGCGAAGCAGCCAGCCGCCAGAGACTTCTTAGCTCTACCAATGCTCAGACCAAATGGGTGATCCTGTCTCTATGAACCCTCAGACGGAATGGGCCAGAGTCTGTCTCCACCCTCCTTATATTCCTGTCTCCACCTCCAAAGTGCTGGGATTAAAGGTGTATGTCACCACTTCCTGGCCTCTGTGGTTAACTAGTGGCTAGCTCTGCCCTCTGATCTCCAGGCAAGCTTTATTTTGTCAGAACACAAACAAAATATCACACAACAGGGCAGAGTCTATCAGCTCCAGTCAACTGGACATCGCACACTGCTTTCCTCACACCTCGCTCCCTCAATGGAGCCTGTCCCTCCTCTGTTGCCCTCTGGCCTGGTATCCATGGAGACCTCTACTGGTGATGACTAAACATCTCTAATGGTTCTTATGAACCAGTCCATCATGTGGGAGTCCAACTCTGACATGTCGAAGGATTCTTGAGGGGAGGAGAGAGGAATGAGGAAGTATTAGAAATATAGATGGAGATGGAGAGAAAGACCGAGACACGGGATAGCTTTGGGAGGGCTCTGGGTTAATAACCAGCCACCTCAAGATTTATTTCATTAGAATATTTTTATACACTAGCAAAGGGAGAGGCAAAAGACCTCCCCCTTTGAAGGTCAAAGCACACCGTACAGCCAAGTATAGACCCTTCCAAACACCTGGTAATCATGTCTTTGGCCAAATCATCCCATTATGCAGCCCTGCTGGGTAAAGCAAACTCAGACTTTCTGAGGTGCTTACTAGGGTGCTTCTGTGGGCCCCCACACATCAGAGACGGGGTCCCTTGAACTGCCTCAGGCCATGCAGCTTGTCTCAAGGACTGATGTGGTTATATTGCTGTTTCTCCGCTTCTGCAGCACTCAGACTGATCTCCATCTGCTCCCATATCACAGCCTCACAAGCCAGGCTGCTGGAGATTCTTTCATTGCTTGTTTAAAGCTTTTCCCAATTCTAGCAATTCCAGTGTGGAATAATCTTTGGTTATCAATTTCTTTCACCCTGGACCACTGTTTAGACCCCTGTCTGCACGCTGGATCATAGGTTTTCCCTTCTCTGTATCAAAGGTCAGACTCGGGAGCATCTTTTGTTGCTTCTGGGTCACTCCCCTCCTTGTTGTCACCATATTCCTCCCAGGGGGCCAGGTTTGGGGTTCCAGGAGGGGCTCTGTATTACTAGTCCTCTCCCCCTTTTGGCCCCTTAGCCATAGAAAACATCCAGTCAACACCTCCATTTTCCCATCTGTTTCATCTAGTATTCTTGCTGAATCAGGAATACTAATGCCAAGGCCATGAGACTCATGACTCTTTCTCTTTGTCACCACACACACACACACACACACACACACACACACACACACAGAGAGAGACACACACACACAGAGACACACACACACAGAGACACACACAGAGACACACAGAGACACACACACACAGACACACAGACACACACACACACACACAGACACACAGAGACACATACACACACACACACACACAGACACACACACAGAGAGAGACACACAGACACACAGACACACACACACACACACACACACA